TTATATAGGCTTAAATTGTATCCTTGTCACAAGAGTGATACTGACACAGTAAAACATGTTAAATTGAGGATAATATGATTGCATTGAATCTTCCAATAAATTGAGGATGAACCAAATGAAGTAGTAAAAAAATAATCATGTAACTGAACCCAGTTTCATTTCAAATAAATCCTAGTTTGTTGTTCTTGAGCACGCAACAGTGAACATTGCTGAGATTGAGGAACTAAGTATCAGCAGTGCCTTTTGGACTTCATAGAACAGAGTAAGGACATCAACATAAAATCTACCCTCCAAATTATGTTCCTTTAAAATAATCAAACTAAAGCATTCTAAGCGTTCGGCTATTCTCTAGGGCATCAGATAAAGTTCAGGCTGTTGTTTTTTTCAAAGACGACATCTTCACAGAAATGCAGAAATACCATCAGTAATACCACAGCTAAGAAAGCAACCGGGCAAGGAATAAACCAAATGAACTCGATTATTTTACTAAAGACGTCTATAATACCTAGGCCAAAAAACTTCATCTCTCCCTTCAAGGAAGATCAAATTGAATAAAACAACAAAATGAATTCATGACAAAATTAAAGCGTCTTCTAAATTAACTAGAAAAAAAACTTCAGAAAAAAAAAAAGCATAAACTATTGAGCCCTTTTACGGAAATTCGTTATGAAAATCTGAAAACGATGCTCCTGTATCAGTATTACATAAACCCATAAAAAATTTATTCCATACGAACAAAAATATCCATGTATTTGTACGTATGTGTGTGTGTGTGTGTTAGTATGTAACAGAAGGTAAATACGAAACCTTGTAATGGAGAGGGACGCCAGTATTAGGCCCAATGCCCTTCTCTCCAGTACACAGAGCCCTGAAATTCTCAGCGGTTTTGGGGACTACATCATTATACAGTTCCACCACCATTCTCCCCTCCAGCTCTCCTCCAATGGTTATGTCCAGATAACATTTAGGCCTTCCCCCCATTTTCTCTTTAACTCTCTTCTCTCTCTATATGAACTGTATGTATATGTTGTATGTATATATAGGTGAGTAGAAGAGTCTGGAGAACGAAAAACCCTAGGAGTCCGGTCCCGCTATGTATACTTTCGAACTCTTGGAGGTCTCGTCGTTATTCAAATGCCTCCCTGTTAATTTTTCGCATGTGCCTCGGCTAAATTGCGCCGGCTGTTTAGGAGTGTACATTTTGTACTTTTTTTAAAAATTGCTATGATGCCCCTTCATTGCTAATATGTTGAACTTTGGCCCCGTTACTTTTTCCTTCTAAAGGTTTTTGTCCAAAATTAGTAAACTTTTAAAAAGACGTTAGAGTGTGTTTAATTGGCTTTATAATTCATTAAAAATGTCATTTTTCCAACTAAGTTCCTACTTTTGAGGTGTTTGATTGACAATTTTTTCCATGAAAAATATTTTCCAACTTTTAGTCAAGTGAAAACATTTTCTTTAGAGAGGGTTAATTTTCATTTTCTAGGTAATTCCCTCCCTCCCTCTTATCCGCTCTTTTTAATCTATCCACCAATAAAAAATAGATAAGAATAATATTTTTTAAGTTGAAAATTAAATCAATCAAACACAATTAATTAATTATTTATATACAAATATGTTATAGACAATTGAATTGTTTAGAATTTATTTTTTTCCATGCAAATTTCATACTCGCAATCAAATACGTCCTTAGTAAATTGTGATGGATAGTAATTGTCCACGATCATATTTAGACTTTGAAATTCCAACCAAGATAATCGTCACACAAGGTGTTGGGCTAATACTTAGTACTGATATTTCCACGGGAAAGTAAAAAAAGTAAAGCATCAAATACAAGGAGTTTGATCATGTAAGTGCACCCTCTCTAGGCCTGGAGCACAAGACTCGCTCTTTTCCCAACTCGGAGCTTGCGAATGGGCGTGCGCACATTTGGTTCTCCTTTTCTTTCCCTAACTTAGGTGGCGGGTTGTGCATGCAGCTATTGATGTTACATGATAGAGGTTGGTCTCTTCATTGAGTTGGGACAATTTTTTTTAATACCAGAAGTTATGTCAAAAATCATACACCATAATATAGTGTTGAGAAGTATGTCACTTGAAGTAAGATAGTCATGTCCTGTAGCTTATTCTCAATCAAAAGTTTCATTTTTATCTTTCTTTATGCATATACTTCTAATTTTTTTAGTTGAAGTTTCTACACCCCAAAGTTTTTTTTTTTTTGGTTATTAAACACATATTCTAATGATGATTTCAATTAATTTCAATTTTAAATCTCGTGAGTACCAAAAAGAAATTGTTCTTTTTTCGAGAATTAAACGAATATTTTGTGAATGTTTTCCAATATTACTATGTTGGAGAGTACAATTATGTTACACTTTTTTACTTTATTTCGTTGTGATAGATAGTGAACAATAATGGAGATTATGGCATTGCATAATTAGATATATAGAATAATGTTATCATCATGATGATGCGAAATCTATGTCGAATAATGAGATTTAACAGTTCAATATTCCATCATCATCATGATAAATAGTATTACTAGACAAACAATAAGTGCTGAATATTTCTATGCAATAGTTTTTGTTGTTTTCAAGTAATATTAATAAAGAATTTAGACTTAATTAGAGTTAATTCTTTTCTATGGTCTTAGCAAGGTACACTCAATTACCTAACCTTTCATTTTTGTTATATTTGGGTCTTCGGTTGACAATTTTATTGTTGTTTAATTTAAAACTCATTTTTTGTTAAAAACACAAATTTATCATTATTCTTATATTTAGTTAAAAATAAATAAAACCAAGGTTGGTGGAATTTGTATTTTTCTTTATTTTACTTTTTTTTTTTCCTTTCAGCTTTCATTTTTGTTAAATTAGAAAAGGGATAATTCGACTTGCTAATATAAATGTGAGTTTTTAATCCACGATAAAGGTCAAAATTGTCCATGGGGGATTCGGTTGCTATAAAAACAAAAGGTCGGGACCGAACCAAACAAAATTATAGGTTGTAGACCAAATTGCTACAATTTCAATAGATTCGGGACCCCAATGGTAGTTTTCCGAAACCATTTTCGCGCTTTGATAAACATGCAAGTGAAAATTCTATGTAATCAATGTTACTTGCAAACATCCAAACTAATAACAATTTTTTTTCTTTTCTGAGACGTAGAAAATTGAGACCCAATTGTCCTTTTTTTCACCTAACACGACATATTGACAATGTTTGTCCTATCTAATTAAACAATGTTATTAATTTCCATTATTGTTACCATAAAGCAAACACTTCAAGCATAAAATCGTATCCATTATTATTTTTTTTTTATTATTTCATATTGCTATCCCTGTCAGATTTAATATCATCTTTGACAAATGTACATGGATTTAGGACACTGAAGAGACATGAAAAAATTATTTATATATTTGACTTTAAATCGTACAAATCAATACTACAACGTAATAAAAAAAATTTAAGAGCACCATAGGGATGCACTTCTCTAGACAAAGCGAACTAAAAGCACGTGCAGGAAGAAAAATGAAAATTTGTGTCTAGAATGGGATCGTGACCATCTTTGAATGCTCGTCCTAACCCTCAATGCTTCCAAGTGGTTGAGAGCACAACCTCTAACAACTAAAAAACAGTGATTGCATGAACGAACCATTGTCAAGTTAGGCGAATTAAGAAAAAGGAGTACCAAATCTAGAATACGTACATCTACGAGATCTGAAACAACTCTTCATATGCGGAGAACATGTACCCACAAGCCTCATGTCTGGAAAACATGCCTAATAGTTACAATGATCTTGAAAGTGTATATTTTGTATTCACGAATCTCTTGAGTAGTGCTCTCTTATCACTTGCACTAATGAGACCTTGGTTCTCAATGCTTTCTTGATTTGCCTATGAGAAGACCATTTTGCCCCTCTTTTGTGAGAATTAAAATAAAATCTTTAGTAGAGTTTTATAAAAGTTTATTAAATGTGTGTTTGAAAAGTTGTGGATCTCATAAAATATGTGATTTAAATTAAAATTTGGATTTTAATCCGTAGTGCCTAACATTTATCAAGGAGAGGCCATATGCCTTTTTTTGGCACATATTGTGGTGCAGTTTCGATGTCTAAGCACGATTGAGTTTGAAATTGGAGATAATTAAAAGGGAGATTTATGTGGAAGCTTTAGTAAAAATTATAATCCACTAAAAAATGAACTTCAAAAATTACAAGTCATCACCATCAACGTACATGTACTAGGAAGTCTACTATTTATGTTTCTTCGAATTAAAGCACCAAGAACATTTAATCAAAATTTCATAAATTAAATAGTATTAGACAAATTTAAATTAAAAATTTCATTCATTATACCCTCTTTCTATTTAATACTGCATACCAAATATATAAAGAAAGATCCTGAATAAAATACGTTAAAATGTCACATGTTTGGATGTCGTATTAAAAGTAAATCAAACTTATTTTGTCAAATGGGATTTTAAAAATTACCATTTTTATTAACAAAATTTAGTTCTCTAAAAATAAAATTGTAACTTATTTTTTTCTTAAAAAGTAATTTTTAGCATAATCACACATAGAGACTTATCGAGTGAATAGTCAATTAATGTTATCGTAGAAAATAAATGAAATGTGACCCACTTAAGTTGATGCATTGTATTGTGCAAAGTGAAGGTGCAGTATACAAATAATAACCACTAATAGTGACACTATTTAATTATTGAGGCTGACTTGTGTATAGCCAATTACCACAAATTCCATCACCATCGTTCAATTTCCTCTGCTCCTTAGTGCTACAGCTTTTTGAATCACTTCACTCTAGAGTCATTAGTCAAGAAAACTATAGGAAAAGCACGTTTGATCAGATGGATTGGACATTAGCATATTTTACAAACGACAAAGAAGTTAATTTAAAGAAAGGATATTATATCGTCGAGTACTATACTTGAGAAAGTTTGACGTTATTCCAGATGAGCTATCTCTCTCAATTTCTTACTTAGAATTGTCAACAAAAATTATTGGAGTCAAAACTGCAGAATTATTTGAACACGTGTATTTTCATACTCAATCGAAGTTAAAAGAATAAGATACAAGATTCTACGAAGTTGTCGAATGAAAATTCGAATTTCTTTAAAGTATAATTGAAGCTACATGCTCACCCAATAAATGTTATTTATGGTTACTTTAAAAAAATGAACTTAATGTTGTCATATTATTAATAGTGATTGCATCTTTGTACTCTGCACTTTGCTTGTGTGTACTCCACATTGCACTCATAGAATTCAATTCAATGTATCTTGTGGTTGAAGAGCCAATTATAAAAGAAATGAGTATTATCCTTTCTTTGATAAGATAAGCTCTTTTATTGGAGTGATTTAATATGGTATCAAAACACGTAAAAGTATTACGTTTAAGTTTCGTATATTGCAGAAAAAATTGTATGTCGAGACTTTAATGATTAAGATTGCACAAAATGAAACACGTTGAAGATATAATGTATATAAATATATTTGCACATCTTTAATAATTGAATTTTTAAATGAAGTGATTCAACATTTACTAGAAATTGGATAAAGTGCTTCGAACTAGAATCAACAATTTTGCTTACTTTCCTCTTATGAAAAAATTAAAGTTCGGCAAAAAAATTTGAACGATTTAGATAGAAGATAGATTCCACAATTCACTGTACAAGGTGAAAATCGAAAAGGTGAGCTAAAGGTTTTTTTCTCAACTTCTTTACATGTTAGTTTTTGGATAAATCTTAACATCCAACCAAATGGTTGGATGCCTAACCATCAATGGAAATGAAAAATTAAAACTAATCAGCCCATTAACTGAAGTTAGTGTTAAGATTTTGGGCTCCATCTTAAAAAGTCAACCTTATTAAGATGAGTAGCTCAAGATCTTTATTAATTAGTATATATCAACATTATTTATTGATGTGGGATATATACCCCTTAACACGCCCCCGCAAGATGGT